AGGGAGGGAGGGAGGGAGGGAGGGAGGGAGAGAGAGAGAGAGAGAGAGAAGAAGGAGGGGCAGGGAGCAGCGGCCGCCCCTCCGCACCGCGGCAGCCGCTCCGCTGATTGGCTGGGGCCCCAGCTGCTTCCCTGGAACAAAAGGTCAAAGTGGACTGCGGAGCACACGCAGGGAGGCGGCGGATAAATAGCAGCGCCCGCCCCGCAGCCCGGAGGCTGAGCGCGCGGGGACGCGCGGGACGCACGGGGCGCGCGGGGCGCACGGGGCGCAGCCGGCCAGCTCCACCCCGGGAGGGGACGGGCACCGTCCGGACCGCCAGACCAGACCCGACAGCCCCGGGGACTCCCCCTCGCTAGGGTCCCCGCGAGGATGGCGTGTGAAATCATGCCTCTGCAAAGGTAGTGCCCTTGCCCTCCTCTGCTTGCTTTTAAAAAAGGAAAAGGAAAGAAAAAGGAAGTTCCCCGCTCGGCGAGCTGTGCTCCGAGCCGGGCAAAGCCATTTGACTTGGTCAGACTTGGCGTCTTGCAGGAAGGCACTACAAGTGTGGAGTGGGTTGAACCCCCTGCGCCTGGAACCAGAAACACTTCAGTGTGAGGCTGTTCTTTCGCTGAATTTTCTTTCTTGAACCCCAAGTTTCTGCTCTGTCTCGCTGGGCTGCTGTATTGATTATTGATTAGATCCCTGGGTGAATGGAAGCAGTTCTGGAGCTAGATCTCTGCAGCCTGGGGGAACACAGACCCAGGGATCTATTGAGCAGGTCCAGGGCAACTCCAGATTGAGAGATGTCAGAAGGCGGAAAGGTCTCAGGATGGGCCCATTTGTAGGCGAGGATCGGCTACCTATACGTGCCATACAATCAGTGAAGACAGATGTTAAGGATACTATTTCCCCTTCAATAATTCTAGATGTATTGCTTACATGGCAGGCACTTGTCTTAAAACTGCCAATGTGAAGAATAGCAGGGCAGAGGATTCCAGTTTGGCTTATTCATGCTTATAATAACTGGAATGGACAGAAGGTGGGAGCTGGGGTCCAGGAGGGAGACTAAAGCAGAGACAGGTAAAGGAGAGGAAGGTGCTGGTTAGAAGATAGCAAACGATAAGTAAATAATGTGTCTGGGATGGTGATCTGGAAGCCACCTCGGGGGTGACTGCATCCAGCCAGCCTTCCAATTTCACAATCAGAAAACGGAGGCATGTTCACAGTCTCTGAGAAGTCCAGGGTGGAATCTTGTGATTTGAAGATCTACTTTTACCAGTCTGATCATCATGTGGCCGGGCATGTAGTGGTGTTTACTCCCTCTGCATGCTTCCTGTGCAGGCTTGGATTTGGGAGATGATAAAGGACTGAACAGGAAATACGATGTCTCAACAAAATGTTAGACAAAAACAAAAACTATGCTGTCCAGATTTCCCTTACCATTTATGTCTTAATAATACAAATAAGATCTCGAAGTACCTTTTTTTTAATTTGCGAGATGGTTCCCGAAGATACACTGAGTCTGAGGTAAACCCGCAGAATTGCTTTTTGTACACTGACAGATGGATTCATGGGGATGGGAATCTGATGTGGTGTTCAGAGAATCTCTTTTCATGATTTAAGGCAGGAGAAAGTGCTTTAAATGTTTCTAATTAATTAGGTGTTACAGTCTAGACATAAGGAAGCAAATTCAGGTATAATTTCTGGAGTCTTGACTTGATTTCCAACTGGTCGTTGGGGTCTTTTTTCCCCCTTCAAAATAATGTGGGATCTTAAGAGTCTTTAGTAGGCTGTATTCTAGATAGGAGTATTGGCTATTATAAAAGTCAGCTATGGCTACTTGATAATGTAATAACTCTTTTAAAAACGAGTCATTCCACTGCCAAAATATTGTTTACACAATTAGGTTGATGACAGCTAACGAGAAAGCCAGCATAATTTCTGAAAATTAGTTTGCATGGCTAATCATTATCAGTAACCAGAGTAGAAATAAATCTAGCAAGGATTTGAATTGGCATTCAAGAATGCTGCATCATCACTTTTGTTTCTTTGCACAGCCCCGGTTCCTGTCCAGGTCAAGGGGACCCACTGTTCCCAAGTTCTGGATGTCTGGCTTTGCCACCTTTGATCATAAACTTGCTGAATGCAAGGACCAAGTGCGTGTGTCTATGTCTCTTCATGAAGGATCCCTTGTGCATTTAAGCATTTATGCAAAATACATTCTTGCCCCTATAGAATTGCATCTTCGGATCTCAGTTCCTTTAGTCTTTGCTATTTGCTGGTCCCCTATGCTTGTCATGGCCATAAGGGTCACTGACTGCCCACGCCCACTCCCACCCTCCCAGCCCACCTGCTTCAAGGACGCTTGCCAAGCTAGGACAGTATGTCTGCTGAATCATTCTGCTCCTGTGCCCCAAACTGAATTAGAAGTACAAGTATAAAAGAAGAGCTTTGAACACAAGTGAAAGCAATGTATGCTCCCTCCACTGAAGCAGAGAGATCTGTTTCTCCTACTCTGGGTACCTAAGAGTTACCTGGCAATTTTACTTTTAAAAGCAATCCTTTCCTGTACCCAGCCTTCCCTGCATTGAGAGAATCCCAATCTAGGGACAGGCAAGGAAAGTCTGTCTTCACAAGCCCCCCTAAACCTGCTCTCCTACAGATCTTCCACCCTGAAGAGAAACCCAGCTGGGAGTCCTGGTTAATGATTAGAGTTTGTACAAAGCCATTGACAGCTGGTCTGTGGTGGAATCTAACTCCATCTCACTCAGCATCTCCAAGAGGCCGATTTCATGCGACCTTATGTGAGTTCTTTTCATAACTGGTGTTTTCTTTACTAGATCATCAGTTCTGCGTGTTAAAACTTAGAGTATGCCAGATGCTGGTGGCTCACACCTGTAATCTTGGCTACTCAGGAGACTGAGACCTGAGGTTCACAGTTCAAAGCTAGCCGGGGCAGGAAAGTTCATGAGAATCTTATCTCCAATTAACCACCAGAAAACCGGAAGGGGTGCTGTGGCTCAAGTGGTAGAGTGCTCGCCTTGAGCTGAAGGACTCAGGCACAGCGCCCAGGCCCAGAGTTCAAGCCCCACCACCTGACAAAAAAAATAAATAACTTAGAATATTGTTACACATTCTCTCTCCATACTGTTAAATAATTTCTCTCAGGCAGCAGTGCTCCAACAAAGGTCATGTAGTCACAAGTTAAGCCTTGCTGCTGACTACCAAGGGTTGTACACACATTACCAGTCAATTGCAATATCATGTGGTAACTACGGTAATACGTGATATAATTAGTGTAATAATAGAGGTGTGTCCCGATGGGCAATGTTACCCTGTATTTTATTTAACCTCATAGGAGGGTTTGATCATATTCAAAGGCACGTTTTTCTCTGTCATGTCTCCTTAGCTTCTAATGTCCATAAATGACCTTTTAGTCTTTCTTCACATACTATAAAAGCATGTAAAGGTTTTGTTGCTGCTAATGTATAACTAGGAATAACAAAGGGGCTTAATAAAGAGAGTGAAATAAAGCCCTTTGCTCCCGTCATGTTTCATGCTAACTGTGTGATGTGATTTGCAGAGTTTCCAGGATGGACTTGACTATTTAGAAACTCCTGATTTTCCGTCAAAGCGAAATAGTGAAAATTCTCTCTGTGTAAAAGCCCCCATTTCTTACAGTTCACTACAAATAACATAAAGGTAGGATTTTACTAAAGATCTGACATAAATTTTTCCACTCTAAATCCTAAAATATTTACATGCTACTTCTTATAACTAATGAGAAGATTCAGCACACAGCATAAACTTACATAAATATTCTCCTCTTCTGGGAAAAAGTTAAGTCCTTTAAAGAAATAAAATAATAACCAAACTAAAGGGAGAGAAATAAGAATTGAAATAAAACTTGGCTGAGGTGACTCAGCTAAGCTTGGGTGCCTAATGAGATAGTCCATTTTATCAGAACCCAGGTTAGCTTAGACCTGAGGTTCTTTGCATGAGTCACAGCCCATTGTGGCTTTTCCTCTGCAGAGTGGATGTGTAGATGAGGCTCTGCATCCGGTAGCACATAGGAAGACTTGACCAGGCTAAGAAGCAGAGGCTCACCTCTAAGGCTTAAGTCCATGACAAAACTCAGCTTTCATAGCAGTACTCTGATTGGCTCTATTAACTTTCCAATAGCCCCTCACTTAATCCATACCCACAGAGGAGAACAGTAAAAGATGAAGCTTTGAGCGCTAATCACCAACTTCACTGCCTTTGGTTTCAATGCTTCGACATCTTTGTAAAAACACCTAGCTCAGTCCTAGATCTGTGCACCCAAGTCAGTAGCTGAAATTGGTCATGTCAAGGACATTGCCTGTTTTGTGTTTTTACTTCATCTGGAAAACTATGCTGTATAATTCCAACTTGTAGTAGCTCTTCAAAGAAGACTTACAGACAAATTAGCATGTATTAGCTAACCAACATTCAAAGATTTCACTGCAGCTTCTTGCCAGTGGAATTTATCGGGTCTTTCTAAGCATGGGTGTTGTAGAGGATTCTTTTGACTATGTGGGAATGATACAGGAGTTCACCTGGAACCAGCCAGGGAAGGAGGATCTGGTATGTGAGCCTTCTGTGTGGTGGTCAAGAGAGAGATTTTGGTGCTTATGGCAAAGTTACCTTCAACCTCCTTCCTCACCTCCCTGGGAGTCCTTCTTCCCCATTAACCCCTGGGCTAGTAAGTCACAGCTCATCTGGATAAACCCCGGGTGAGGTTGGGTATCTGAATTTGCCCTTCATCACCCAAACGACCTATATTTGGGAGAAACGCAAAGTCATTGGGAACACACAAGTTCTTGGCAGGCCCTGGTCCAGTGTAGTGGCCCAGTGTTCCAGCATGGTGGTGCCATTATCTGTGCAGCCCAAATATTTGCCAATTGCACCAAATAAAAATGATAATCTGGAGTGCAGAGGGGATGTTTTCAAGTTGTAAGACCACACTGCCTGTTGCATTGGAAAGTAACCGTGTTAGGCGTTCAGCGTGTGCAGTGGGACAAATGGAAGGAAAGGAAGTGCACGTGCATCCAGACCCTGACCACTTACTGGTCATGTTCGTAATCTAGACAATAAAGCAATACCATCGGGGAACTTATTTTATGGGGGAGGTTCTGACAGTTAATGGGTATGAGAGGGGTTTTTTGTTTGTTTTGTAGATAATAAAACTACCAGATCAGAAGAATAATGTGCTAGCAAGATGTAATGGCTCATACCTGTCATCCTACCCGCTCAGGAGGCAGAGACTGAGAGGATCATGATCTGAGGCCAGCTCAGGCAAAAGGATAGGGAAACTCATCTCCATACACAAGCCAGGCATAATAGTTCAGCTCAGAAATCCCAGCTATGTAGTGGGAGATATGGGTAGGAAAATTACAGT